ATCGTTGAATAAGGATTTACCCGTGCTGCTGCTTAATCTTAAAGCTTTAAATTACGCAGCAAACCGAGTCCTGCTGCAGCAGCAGCAGCTGCTGCTGCTGCTGCTGGAGGCCCCAGGGGGGGCCCCCCGGGGGGGCTGTACACAGGGTCGATATGTGTTGCAGCAACCCCACCAATTTGTTTCTTTTGTTGCTAAAAAGATCAAAAATAATTAAATTAATTCTTTTAGAACATTTAATTGGCTTTTTGCTGCAAAGGGGTGCCGCTAGGCTTCGATGACGGCGCAAATGGCCCTCTGCTGCTGCCGCTGCTGCTGCCTCTGCTGCTGCCGCTGCTGCTGCTGCTGCTGCTGCTGCTCCCATCTGGTATGATTCTGCAGCTATTTGGTCTTTTTAATGCCTCAGAAACAGATGAGCAGCGCAGCACGGGTGCAGCTGCTGCTGCTGCCGCATCAGCAGCTAAAGACTGCAGCGATGATGCAGCAGCAGCACCATTTGCTGCAGTTGTTGCTGCTGCAATCGTTGTTGCTGTTGCTACTTTAAGAGCTGCTGCCGCTCTCGTCGCTGCTGCTGCTGTTCCCACTGTTGCTGCTGCTGCTGCTGCAGTGCCCTTTAGTAGGCCTAGAAGCACATTTCCACGGTCCTGCTGCTGCTGATAGATTTGCTGTTGCTGCTCCTGGTAGTGCTGCTTTCCCTGGTAGTGCTGCTGCTAGTGGTGCTGCTGCTGCTGCTGATAGTGCTGCTGCTGCTGCTGATAGTGCTGCTGCAGCTGCTCCTAATAGTGCTGCTGCTGGTAGTGCTGTTGCGTGTTTGTGCTGCTGCTGCAGTGTCGGTAGCAGCCTTAGTCAACATGCATCTGCTGCTGCTGCAGCTGCTGTCATCTGCTGCTGCTGCTGCTGTTGTTATCTGCTGCTGCTGCTCGCAGGCTACGGTGCTGCGCTGCTGCTTGCCAGCAAAACGCCAGAAGCCAGTAGCAGCAGCAGCAGCAGCAGCAGCAGCAGCAAGAACAGCAGCAGCAGCAGCACCTAAAGCACAAAAAGCGTGGAGGCCAACAGCCGCAGCAGCAAGCCAGCAGCTAACCCAAATAAACCAACAATAAATAAATAAATAAATAAATAAATAAATAATTTATTTATTGATTTATTTATTTATAATAAATAAATTAATTAATTAATTAAGTAATGAAATGAATCCACTAAGCAGCTTAAAGAGCAGCAGCAAAAAGTGCAAAAAGGAACAAATTAAAAAAGTTTTAAAAGATTAAATCGAAGGCAGCAGCGTGGAGAAGACAACGACGGACTAGCTGCTGCTGCTGCTGCTGCTGCTGCTGCTGCTGCTGTTGCTGGTGCTGCTGCTGTTGCTGCTGCTGTTGACAACGATGTCTCTGCTGCTGCCGCTACTGCTGCTGCTGCTGCTGCTGCTGCTGCTCCAAAAAATAGGCCTAACGAGGTTTGTGCTGCAGCGCTGCTGCTGCTGATTAACAGCCGCTCTCTGGTGTTGCTGCTGCTGCTGCTGCTGCTCAGCATTAATTGAGCTGGCAAGGCTTTTGCTGCAGCTGAGTTGCTGCTGCAGCTTACTGTTGCTGCTGCTGCTGGCAGCCCTCCTGCTGCTGCTGCCTAGCAGCCGCTTGCTGCTGCTGCAGCTTCTGGTAGTGCTGCTGCTGCTGCTGCTGCTGCTGCTGAACAAATAGGCCTAGCAAGTCTTGTGCTTTAGCTGCGCTGCTGCTGGCTGGCAGCCGATGTGCCGCTGCTGCTGCTGAATTCTTGAGTTCTGTCCTCGCAAGTTCTGCAGCACTATGACGAACAAAAGCAGCAATAAAAGGCCGCCGGAAATTGTAGCATATTTTTCCATAGGCCAGCACTTAATTACCTAGAGAGCTAGCCAGCTATTCTGCTGGCTAGCTAGCCAACAGCTAGCTAGCTGGCTGCCCAGCTAGCTGCCCAGCTAGCTGCCTACCTAGCTGCCTAAGTAGACTCCAGCTAACTGCCTGGCCGTGCAGCTGGCTGCCTAGCTAGCTGCCCAGCTAGCTGCCCAGCTAGCTGCCCAGCTAGCTGCCCAGCTAGCTGCCCAGCTAGCTGCCCAGCTAGCTACCTAGCCAGCTACTTGGCTAGCTGCTCAGCTAGCTGCTCAATTGTCTGCCATTTTGGATATCCCAAGAGCTAGCTAGATGGCTAGCTGAGTTTCTGCATACTCACATAGCTACGGAAGAGCTAGCTAGCCACAGCTAGCTAGCTGGCTATTTGACTGGCTAGCTGGTCGAGGGGCTGACTCAGAGACCCTACACGCAAACCTAAACCCTAAACCCTAAACCCTAAACCCTAAACCCTAAACCCTCGCCTGGCTTTTAGCCGCAACTGCCTCGATCTGGAAGACTGGGGGAGTTCCTGTCTGAAGAATAAAACGGGATAAAGGCAAAAGCCTGAAATAAATAAAGCAAAAACCACTAAATTAAATTAAATTTAATTTAATTTAATTAAAAATAAAACAAAGTAATGAAAGACTGAAGCAGCAAATGAAACTTCTGGGTTTGGTCGGCAGCAACTCGAGAGTCCATCGGCGAGACCGGGTCCTTGTGCGTCATTTTGCCTCGAAAAGGATATAAAGTACTTTAAAAGTGAAAGTAAACAATTAATTTATAATAAAATAAACGAAAAATAAATAAAATTAAACAATTAATTCACAAATGCTTTTATTTTCTTGTGTATCTCCAGCTCGAGCGCAGCAGACACCGCAGTGGTCGCCGTGGCCCGCAGCCGATCCCAAGGGGGGAGTGCAGAAAAGGGGAGCAAAGGGGGCCTCTGGATTTGTTTCTTTTGCTTTTATTTTGAATAAAATAAATAAAATGATAAATAGAACAAATTTGTTTATGCATTTGTTGTTAAAAGGAAGGGCAAAAGAGGAGGAGGCCGCGCGCCGGCGGCGGCGTCCCAGTGGACCACTGCAGCTTCCCGTCTGCGGGTCAGCTCTTCGCGAAGAATCCTCCGAAACAATTCAATTTTATTTAAATTAAATAATTTAAATTAATTTACTCGAAGGATTCTCCCAATTTCATCCTTTATGGCGGCTGCCAGGGCTCTCTTCTCGCTGCTGCTGTTGCCTCTGTGCTGCCCCCGGGCTGCAGCCCTTGGGGGCCCCCCCAGCCCCTCGCCCTCCCCTCTGCAGCAGCACCTGGGGGCCCCCGAGGGCCCCCCCGGCCTTGCTGGGGGCCCCCTGCCGCTCCCCGGGGGCCCCCTGGCTCTGTCTGCAGCCCTGGCGGGGGGCCCCCCCTCAGAGTCTTTCTCGGCTTCCCCCGCGGCTGCAGCGGGCGCCCCTGGCTCCGGGGCCCCCCCCTCGTGGGGGGCCCCCCCGCCGGGGTCTGCGCGCGCAGCTGGGGGCCCCCGGGGGGCCCCTTCGGGGGGCCCCCCGGGCCTGTCTTCTTGGTTTTCGGGCCGTTTGAGTTGGTCCTGGGCCCGCGCAGTGACCCCCCGCCTGACAGGGGGCGGCGGCGTGGGGGGCACTGTGAGCAAGACCCTCTTGGGGCGTCAGCAGCAGCCTTCCGCGGGGGCGTTGCTTCGCCGGGGGCCCCCCGCTGGGGGCCCCCCTGGGGGCCCCCCGGGGCCCCCGGGGGCCCCCCGGGGCCCCCCGGGGGCCCCCGGGGGCCCCCCGACCTCGTTTTTGGAGGAGGAGCGGGCCGGAGTGAACGCCCTGTGGTACGCGACGCGGGGCTGGGGCTGGAGGCACCCGGAGAACTGGAAGGCGCGGCAGTACTTGTGCATGAACTCGATGGACGGGCGGCCGTGCGGGCCGGACCCCTCCTGGAGCCAAATGTTCCCCGGGGGGCTGCACTGCCCCCCCAGCCACTGCTGCAGCGTCGTGCACACTGTCACCTTCTTTGGGGGCAACTTGTGCACTGCTAATGGGGCCCTTTGTGTCATTAAAAAGGCCAACTACTCTTACGGGTCTTGCGGCTGCAGCGGCGCAGTCTGCGGCCACCCCGACGCGGAGTGCGTCGAAGAGCCGGGGCCCCACGGCGGCGCCTACTGCCGCTGCAAAGAGGGGTTCACCGGAGACGGAAAGACCTGCTTCCCAGATATCTGCAGCAGCAGCAGCAGCAGCAGCAGCAGCAGCAGCAGCAGCAGCAGCAGCAGCGGGAGCAGCAGCGGGAGCAGCAGCAGCAGCAGCAGCGGGAGCAGCAGCGGGAGCAGCAGCGGGAGCAGCAGCGGGAGCAGCAGCGGGAGCAGCAGCGGGAGCAGCAGCAGCAGCAGCAGCAGCAGGTACTGCAGCCCGGGGCGGTGCGTGCAGCAGCAAGAAGAAGCGCACTGCGAGTGCCCCACAGGGTACGAGGCCCAGGGCCTGGAGTGTCTGCCCATCCCGCCCTGCCAGAGGGGCCCCCCGGGGGCCCCCGGGCCCTGTGGGGCCCCCGAGCGAGTGGCGGAGTGCGTGGATGTGGGGCGCAGCAGCTACGCATGCGTGTGCACCAGTGGTCACGCTGCAGTGACCACCGCTGCAGGGCCGGTCTGCGAGCCCGCCAGCAACAGCTACTACTGCAGCAGCAGCCCCTGCGGGCAGCAGGGGCTGCTGCGCTGCACAGACTTGGCGGAGGGGGGGGTGGCCTGCGAGTGCAGCAAAGGCTTTTTGCTGGAGAGGGGGCAGGGGTCCACTCCCTTCCGCTGCAGACCAGTGGACCACTGCAGCAGGAACCCCTGCGGCTCCGCGGCCGTGGCCCGCAGCTGCGCCCGCACTGCAGCGGGAGGCTACTCCTGCGTTTGCCAGGACTCTGCGCAGCTGCTGCAGGGCGAAGACGGCCCTTACTGCCAGCAGCAGCAGCAGCAAAACGGGCTCTTCGTCTACTTTGCTGCTGCTGCTGCTGCTGCTGCTGCTGCTCTCCTCGGAGTCGCAGTCTGGTGGCTCGCCTTCAAAGACGGGCCCAACGCCCAACAGGAATACGACTACACAGCAGCAGCTTTCCTCTCCGCCAGCGGCCAGCAACTCGCCACCTAACCACCAACAGCTAGCTGCCAGCTAGCCAGCTAGCTAGCTAACTGGCTAGCCAGCTAGCCAGCTACCTGGCTAGCTAGCGGGGTGGCTAGCTACGGGGTGACTCGCTAGTTGGCTAGCTGTCGGGCAAGCTCGCCGGATTGCTAGCTAGCTGGAGAGCTAGCTGGCTACCTACGTAGCTAGCTGGCTGGCTGGAGAGATGCCTCCAGCAGAAATTACAAACAAGTCCACCGAATCGACAACGCAGCTAGCTAGCTAATAGTTCACCTAGCTAGCTAGCTAGCTAGCTGGCTGGCTAGCTGGCAACGAGCCTAGCTAGGTAGCAAGCGAGCTGGCTAGAGGTAGCTAGCTGGCTAGCTGCTGCAGCGCCTGCTGAGCCTGGTGCGTCCATGTCGAGAGCTTTATTGACTTATTGGATTTAATTTTATTTCAAATGTTTCCAAAGTTTACTTTTCAAGTTTTTTTCCCTTTAAGGCCTTCAGAAATTTCTTTTTCCCTTGAGGCCCTCATTCCCCTCCAAGGCCTCCTCAGCTAGCTAGCTAGCTAGCTAGCCAGCTAGCTAGCTAGCTGTCTGGCTAGCAGGCAGCCAGCGAGTTAGCGCACTGGATAGCGAGCTAGCCAGACAGATACATAGCTAGCCAGCTAGCCAGCGAGGTCGCCAGCTAGACAGGTAGCTAGCCAGACAGTTCGCTGGCCAGCCTGAGAGCTAGCTGAACAGCTGGCTGGCTAGCTAGCTAGCCGCGGAGCTAGCCAGCTAGCTAGCTACCTACGGAGAGAGCTAGCTGTCCACATGGCTAGCTAGCTGTCCACAGAGCTGGCTAGGTGTCCAAAGAGCTAGCCAGCACCCCACCGAACTTAATTGCATCCGACACAGCCAACTAGCTAGCCAGCTAGCTATCCAGCTAGCCAGCCAGCCAGCCAGTGAGCCAGCTAGCCAGCTAGCCAGCTAGCCAGCTAGCCAGCTAGCCAGCTAGCTAGCTAGCTAGCTAGCTGAAAGGAAAGCAGCCTTTGCGGGTGCTGGAGGCGAACGCGGAAAGACCTCAAACCCCTTTTCGGGTCTTTTTTCATTTTTTTTTAATTTTGGTTTTTCTCCAAATCGTAAACCCTAATTTGCAAATCCTAATTCGTAAACCCTAATTCGTAAACCCTAATTCGTAAACCCTAATTCTTAAACCCTCGTTCTCAAACCCTCAAAACCCTAGGTGGGCCCGCCACCCTAATTCTTAAACCCTAATTCGTAAACCCTAATTCGTAAACTCTAATTCGTAAACCCTAATTCGTAAACCCTAATTCGTAAACCCTAATTCGTAAACCCTAATTCGTAAACCCTAATTCTTAAACCCTCGTTCTTAAACCCTCAAAACCCTAGGTTGTCCCGCCACCCTAATTCGTAAACCCTAATTCGTAAACCCTAATTCGTAAACCCTAATTGGTAAACCCTAATTCGTAAACCCTAATTCGTAAACCCTAATTGTTAAACCCTCGTTCTCAAACCCTCAAAACCCTAAGTGGGCCAGCCACTGTTTTATTTTCAAAACATGAAGACCTTTAACTTCCAAAGTGCCGCAGCGCTCCCTCACTGGGGCCTCGCAAATGGACATCAAGTCCCTTTTCAGGGCCTGCGCGCAAACCCTAAACCCTAAACCCTAAACCCTAAACCCTAAACCCTAAACCCCAAACCCTAGGGGGCAGGCGCTGCGGGCGCGAGGGGCGCTGGGCACTTTGGGTGAATTTAAATTTATTATTTTTCTTATTTTAAATTTATTTGTTTATCTTATTTTGAATTTAATTAATTTTTTCATTTTGAATTTAATTAATTTTATTTTTAATTCAATTCTTTATTTAAATCAAAATGCAGAAAAGAAATGAAAAAATACTTTTGCCGGAAAATCCAAAACAGAAAAAACAGAGGAGACGCGAGAGGCAAAAAGGGCAAAAATAAATAAATAAATAAATAAATAAATAAATAAATAAATAAAAATAAAATAAAATAAAATAAAATAAAATAAATAAATAAATAAAGAACAAATAAGGAGACAAGCAGCAAATTAAAAAACAGAATATAAACCCGAAACCACTCAGCAGCAAACGCTGAAGAAGCAGCAGCAAAGCTTCACTTCAAATGACAGTTGAAACGCCGCAGCAGCAGCAGCAGCAAAAGCAGGAGCAGCAGCAGCAGCAGCAGCAAAAGCAGCAGCAGCAGCAGCAGCAGCAGCACGAACCTTCACGTCTCCTAAGGCGTGCCGCACAATAGTGGTGACTGCAGTTCCATGTTTTCTAATGCGGGAATAAACTGGCAAGTTGCCGGAGGGTGTCCGCAGCACCTGCAGCAGCAGCAGCAGCAGCAGCAGCAGCAGCAGAAGCAGAAGCAGAAGCAGCAGCAGCAGCAGCAGCAGCAGCAGCAGCTGAGGGGCGGCGGTGGCTCCAGCAGAGGCAGATTGAGACGCAGAAGCAGCGCAGGCGCTGCAGCAGCAACAAGTGCTGCAACAGAAGCGGGAGAAAAGAAGCCCCTGCAGCAGCAGCAGCAGCAGCAGCAGCAGCAGCAGCAGCAGCAGCAGCAGCAGCAGCAGCAGCAGCAGCAGCAGCAGCAGCAG